AAGTACTGCGCCTGCCACGTATTTTGTACGTCGCTGCCTATGTAAGGAAAGCTCCGCGGGGCAAACCTAGGGCTACGCCCGAAGTAGTAGTAGTAGTAGTCGTCGTCGTCGTCGTAGTAGTAGTAGTAGTAGTACTAGTAGTGGTGCTAAAAGTTGTCAGTAGTAGTAGTCGTCGTCTTGGACGTAGTCGCAGGAGTAGAATCGTAGAAGTGGCTTGAAGTGGCAATAGCAGTAGCAGCAGCCACAGCAGTAGTAGTGGTGGGGCAGTGGTTGTAGTGGTAGTAGTAGAGGTAGCAGTAGTGGTAGCAGTAGTGGTAGTAGAAGTGGTAGTGGTAGGAGTCCTGGTGTGCTGTGGTGCTAGTATGGTGCTGGAAGAGCTAGTAGTGGTAGTAGTCCTGGGAGCAGTGGTAGTCGTGGCAATAGAGGTGATCGTAGCAGCCGTGATAGTGGTGCTATTGATAGTCGTGGTAGAAGTCGTAGTGGTGGGAGTGGTGGAGTAGTGATGGTAGTGAGAGCGGTGGTAGTGTCGGTAGCAGTAGCAGCAGTAGCAGTAGCAGCAGCAGTAGTTGTAGTAGTAATGGTAGCAGTAGTAGTACCAAAACGAGTACACATAGTAGTAGTAGTAGTAGTAGTAGTAGTAGAGTAGTAGTAGAAGAGTAGTAGTAGAAGAGTAGTCGTAGTAGTAGTAGTAGTAGTAGTAGAGTAGTAGTAGAGTAGTAGTAGTAGTAGTAGTAGTAGCAGCAGCAGCAGCAGCAGTAGGAGTAGGTGTAGGAGTAGGTCTAGGAGTAGGAGTGCTAGTGATTGTAGTGGTTCTAGCGGTGCTGCTGTGGTGCTAGTGGTGCTAGTGGTGTGGTAGTGGTCGTGGGTCGTGATAGCAGTAGTGGCAGTGGCAGTGCTAGCGGTCGTGGTAGTCGTAGTGAGTGGTAGTGGCAGTGGCAACTTTCGTTGCAGTGGTGGTGGTCGTGGTCGTGGTAGTGGGAAGGTAGTGGTTGTCGTCAGTAGTAGCAGCTACTAGTACTAGTACAGCGTGCCGCGAAAATGGAACCACTAGGGGGGACAAGATGACCGGTCACCTTGGTCATCTTGCTTTGTGCTTTTGTCCAGGTTTGAGGCGAGGACCGGTTTGGTCACCTCGGTAATCTTGGAATAGTTGTGGGAGGGTGCGGGCGGAGGGGCCTTGGTCCCCTGTCAAAATCCAGAAAAGCAAGATTACCAAGATGACCGGACCAATTAGCGGTTACTGCTTGTTGTTGCTGCTTCTGCTGTTGCTAAACAGCCTGCTGTTTGAGCTTGAGAATACATTCTGCAATGCAGCTATTCACCAAGCAATTGTTAAAGCTTGCCAGACGTCACCACAACACACTCAGGCTACCCCGTCGCGCGGTCTCTTCGGAGAGGTTTCGGGGCACAATTTGTTTTTCGGATCGGCATGGCTTTAGTCGCCATGTGTCGAACAACCGCTTTCCTCATTTGGGGCTAAGGCTGCTTGTAATGCCTAGTCGTTTCACCTTCCTCTCCGATGCCCAAGCCAAGGTGCTGGACGACCTGCACGAGCGTCGAATCACTGAATGAATGAACAAACGAACGAATTGAAGTTGTCGCTGTTGTATTGTCGCTGCTGCTGGCACTGCTGCTCTTGTTGTCGGCGCACAGCAGAAGCTGCCTGCGCCCATGCTCTTCCCCGTCCCTGGGTGCCAGTGAAGGTCACTGCTGCCCTCTGCATGGAAGGGTTCAGACTCAGACTGGTGGAGCCGCTCAGCTAAGGAGCCCAAGTCGTGCATCGCATCAGCACAAAACACCCATCACACCGGAAATTCCAAGCCACATGGAGAGAGAGAAGAAGGCGGGAGTGGGGGGAGGAAAGGCAAGGAGGCAGGGGAAGGACAGGAAAGGAGGCTGCTGGGATAGGGTGCTCGTCCTTTGAAGGTCATTCCACACTTTAACGATGTTGCTTTCGTTTGGTTTGGCTGGAGCAAAGGACCGGCGCGCGGCCTTTGCAGGTGGCGGTGGCGGAATTTCTCCCTGTCGATACTCTCTCATGCAGAAATGATCTGCGAGGCCTTTCATCTCGGAGTGCTCCGGGCACCAATACCTGCTCTGCTGGAGACTGCTTCGATGCGGCAATCTGTGAGCATCGATGGCACTTGGAGAAATTGCATCTTTCCGTCAGGCGAGACATGGCCCCTAGAGCCGCTAGAGCTCGATGCCATCTCTGCAATACTCCGAACGGCGCACTCGCCACTACTGGTCGCATCGCAAGCATCGCAGACCAGGACCAATGCGCGGCCTTACCACACGCCACATCAAGAGAATTCGCTGCATTGCATCATCTATCATGTCCGTGGCCTCGCAGCCAACAGTTGGGGTCCGGGCAAACGGCACAAACCCTGCCACCATGATGGATATCCTTGGTCACATGGGGACGACCCATCCAGTCGAATGATGCCGCGCACTAGATTTCGCACCGAGCTGTGCAAATCCAACTCCCTTCTGCCATGTACTTCCAGCAGTCATGAAGCATGCAGAAAGAAGATCAGGGCAAGATGTTCAGTTGACATGATGCGCAGCGATGCACGTGGCAGCAAAGCGTTCCTTGCCATGGAAATATTTCGATGTTCTTACAAAGCGCCATGCATGCCGAGAAAATCAGTCTTCTTGAATCTAGCATATGCATGTGTGACTCGAAAACATTCGATAATCAAGAACCTGTATCATTCTGGTGACATCATGCCTCGCATCGGAAGTCTCGCTGTCTGATGTCTGAGATGGTCTGAGACAGCCACCCAGGCAGAAGAGCACTCTGAGCAGCGCCCAACCACGGAAGTGCTCGCCTGCCACGTCCGTGCGGCAAAATCGCACGCAAAGGGGAAATAAAGAAGCCCGAGATCTCGCTGGCTGCAGCTCTCGATACACAACAACAGCGAGATCGCATCAATTCCGACATAACCGAACGGATTTGAATCATTAGCTTAGCAGGTGTTGGGATTCGCCGCTTGCAGGCATGCCCCAAAGCCCTGGCAGGGCACCGAGCGCATCTGCGCTCTCTTGTCGAAGACAAAGTTCGCTCCTTGAAAGTGGCCACCATCTGGAAACGCCTCGCCGACCAGATCCACCAAAAAAACACACACAAAATGCGGTGTTGCATCCGCTGAGCATCAGGTTTCGAGCCTCCAGGTAACGGTGGATGCCACCTTCGAGTTGAAACCTTCCGAAGGCTTCAGTCCAAGCTTTCGAAGGCAAAGCAGCGCGCAGGGAAGTGGCGCACACAGGGGTGGAACTGTCACCCAGGTCGCTGAGCCGGCGTCGCAGGTAGGCCGATGCCTCAATGACGTAACAATCAACATGTAAGACAGCACAGCCAAGCCTGGTCGGCCACAACATGGACAGTCAAAGACAAGTTGTGGACAGGAAAGCGTGAGCAAAAAATCGCCCTCACCCACCACTTCAAGCTGGTGAAAGAGCTCCTACACTCTCTGCAAACTGCTAACGGCTGGGTATGGCTAGGTGAACAACCTTTTCGCACCGTATGCCTCCTGTACCTCAGCATCACTTGGAGATCCCGTGAAGCTGTTCGACCTACCAGTAATCACCAAATGTCGATCTCATGGAAAAGGCCGTGACAGTACAGCATCACGGTGCGACCCCGCAGTTCCTGTCAGGCTACAGCTATTGAGGCATGAAGTTACCCGCAAACACACAAGACTTACGTATCTTAATCTCGGCACGCCATGCCTGAATGTTGTCCTTGACGTATCGGGGCCATTGAGCTGTGTGCCTTATGAAAGCTGGTGGCGATCTCTGGGTGGACCGGCGGTCACGGCCTCAGGCCGTGACGTCATCCCCGGATCGATGGCCCCATCAAAATGGCCCACATCGTACCTGGTGTGTTGTGTCGCACATGGTGTTCGACCGCGTCCATTCAGTTCAATGGAGTCCCTCTTGTTTTCCACAGGCGCACTCGAACGTGTTTCGCACATCAATGATCCGCAATCTGTGCACGAACCGGACGTGAAAAACAATCATTTGACCAGGTTGTAGCAGCATCTGAGCCATGCACTCCTCCGAATTTTGAAGGAGTCGCGAATGGAACCTGCGCAAGGCTGTGTCTGACTCCTGGGGTGTTGGCGAATGACATGGCCGGGCGCACTCTTCGGGTGACAGGTGCGTCCCGCCCTGCCAGATCCACAATAGCACAAATCATAAACGACACCGTTCTCAATGGTTCACTGCCGCAGCCTCGGCATGAACATCCAAGGGCTTAGAGTCTTGAACTCCGAAGCCAACGAGCTCTGACACCTTGCAGCTTCCAGTGCATCACGTCTGGCCACTCGAACATCACAATCATTTCGGAAATGGCTTTTGAATGATTCGCAGGCCTGTTTGACGACAAAGTCCGGGAAAAGACTTTGCTGAGACCTTGGCACCCAACATTGGCCTACCCATGGCTGGCCGACTCAATCTACATGTGCTTTGGGCAGTTCCGACTTCAAGCCTTTTTATCTTGGGAATAGGTCCGTCTGGGATTATCTAATTAACTCGAATTGGGCACGTTTGCCCGCCGCTTCTTCGCATTCACACGACACGCCGTGCTCCACATGCACATGTGTCGCTGCCGGTATGTTGTGGCACCCCTCCTTTTCGTCCGGGCTGCGAATGATGTGGCTCAGCATTTGACGTGGCTCAAGCTTTGTTTTTCGCTCAGTCTGGCTGGATGCGCCAGCGATGACTCCTTTTTATCGAGGACACACAACAGCCGCATGCGCTAAATACAGAACCCAGGTTTAGCAAGTGTAAGAAACACATGATGTGATGTGGTGGCGGGTTTAGTCCTGTGGGGGTCTATAATTATAATGCGTTTTTGCAGAAGGCTGAGGCTCGGATTCTACGTGGGATTTACCTAAGTTTTATGCTTTGAAACTGAGGACAGGAACCTCAAGGTTTTCGAAGCTTTCTAAGGGGTTAGAGTCGGTTAGAGGGCTCAGGGCTCGGGTTCTAGGTGGGGTTCACCTACGTTTGGGGCTCAGGACAGCTTCCTTACTGTCCACGGGGTTCAGGATGGCTCAGGTTCGGGTTCCAAGCCAACCAAGGTCAAGGGGGTCATGGTCGGGGGGGCGGGCAGCCCACTAAACCCGCCACCACCTTAGACCTTCTGCACTAGCATCCTTATAACAACGATCCAAGTAAGCATTCGGCACTATTCAACAAAAGCTTTACATACACTCTTTGGAGCGTGACACCCGCCTCGGAAAAGGACGGCAGACGTGGGTATAGCGGACGACACCAGACTCGACATCACAACCCTCCCCAAGCTTCGGCTCATAAGGGTCCCAACAAGAGTTTCCACGAAGGTAACCATCGGGGGTTGCAGCACCAGAGCTTGTTTCGGCTCGAAAGATCGCAGTTTAAGCCAATTCTGTGAAAGAAGCTATGGACATGGACCGGGTCATGGCAGAGGGAGGCCACGGTGGTCGGCCATCTGGATGGTGAGATTCCCAAGCGTCAACAAGGCATGTCGGAGCCTCGGATAGTTGGCCGATCCGACTTGCCGCCACACCAGCGCCGCCCGCTGTGGCAGAACTAGGCCGAAGAGCGCTTCAGCGAGGTCCTCCACCTGATTTTTTGGCAGGCTTGCGCCCAACTGCTTTCGGCTTCGGTGCTTGGACACGCCGACACAGTGAGGAGACACGCCGACACGCATCATGAAACTGGAGCGTGGCTGCGGAACATGTGCAGAACAGACACCACCATGGTACCAAACAGGGCCGCGTCCCCACTCCTCGGCCACCAGTGTCCCAGCCTGGGCCGAGGTAGTCTCATAGTTGTCAAAGGCAAAGTCGGGCGCAAGTTCACGGCAGCTTCACAGCCATGCTCTCGGCGCCACCACTGCAGGGAAAACTCACAGAGCTCTCCTGGCTGGCCAGGCATGGTATCCGGACGGCCAGCCCTGCCCCAAACACCTGGAGCCCGAATCTGAACCGAGCAGGTTTTCACGCCAACCCCGCCATGGCAAGGCCACGGTTAAGGGAAGGTAACGGCTACGGCTGAGTACGTGCATGTAAAGGTTCGGGGTGCTGCGAACACTGCGAACATTGCGAACACGAGCTGACCAAGATGGGCTGCAGATCTTGGATCTTCCTTCAGGGCTCACGCCTCCCGGCTCCATTAGGCAGCCAGATGTACCCCGGCAAGATGAGGTCGCTCGGGCGGCCGCCCTCTTTGGATGTGGCTTGGGGCAGCCGAGGCTGTCTGTGAGGTGCTGTTGGCTGCCTGCCGGTCTTGCGTTCACGCCCTTTGATTGCAGTCGCTGCGACACCCTGCGTGCAAGCTTCTTTTGTCCGATGTGCTTAGGTCCGGCTGGGACACCTTTTGGTGCTCACCTTTTTGACATTTGTGCATGGCGCGACAGAAGCCAGGCTTTCATGTCAAGGGGGGGCCGGCCGGTGCGCTGCTGCTCTTCCTTCCCTTTTCTACGGCTGTGAGCACTTGTGCTTCGTGCGAACCTGTGGGGTGGTGACACCAACCCTGGGTGCAGTTTATCCGGCTCAGATATCCAAGCACTCGAGGCACTCACGATAAGACTAGTGCAGGAGCGGTGCCGGCCGCACCAGCACGAAGCGCCGGCAGTACGTCCCGATCCCTGTCACACCGGGCGCAAAGCATATACGCGCAGGGAACTGGCATCAAGCCCCCGCGAAAACCCGCAATCGGAGGCGGCAAGTGCTGGACTTCGATAGCTGAAGTCCAAAGGACCCAAGGCTCTTGCAAGCTCTTCAGGCGCCCAAGCGCGTGAGGGCATGCTTTGGCCGGCCCGTACGCCCTCGTGGGACTTGCTTGCACTTAAACCGCCTCCCTCGTCAAGGGACTGCTGACATCCAACCTGGTTGCCGTGCAGTCATTGCGTACGGACTGCTTGACTGCGCTCTTAGGCGTGTGCCATAGTCCCAGAGCTAGGTGCGTGATGGTGCAGTGGAATGACATACCGCCCTTGCTGGTTGTCATGCCCCCCCTTTAGCCAGTGGCGTGTTACGAGGCCGCGCCCCTGGCCCACGAGTGAGATTGCGCTGGTGTGCGGCTGCCAACTAGCCTTCCTTGGACTTTCTGCCTGGAATTGTGGACCTTAGCGTGCACGGCGACCGGGATACAGAGGCAGGAGGGTCGATCGTTGTCCGACGGGACTAGAACGACCGGGCTGCCTTGGTTTGGGCTCCACATCTCCATGCCTGCAGCCGGGTGCAAGATGGATTCTCGGTATGGTGGGCAAACGGTGGGCAGTATAGAGAAAAATATGTTCCAAGTCCCACAGGTCACCCGTGTACTGAACACGAGACACGCTCACCAGAAAAGTAGCGTCCCGGCTTGAGCCAAAATCAACCTGCCAAGCGCCTCTCCTAGCTTGAATCCCTCCGGTTGGGTGAGTGAAGCGCACGTTGTGGATGGCACCCAACTCCCGTAAGCTGACCAACTGTCCGCAGGGTAGACACAAACGCCGAAAACTAGAGCTTTGTCCTGTCATTGCGGCATGGCTCAGAGAAGCGAGTGCATGACTTCGGCAGCAGACCAAACATGGACGAAACCATTTTCAAAGCCCAACTCATGGATGTAACTTCAACAGGGCATCAATCGGGCTAAGGCTGGAACGCAGCACTCCTGAAAGGGGCTTGAAACTCCAAAGAAAATGGAGCACAGGACAGCACGCTCCAAAGCAAGCTTTCCGGACAAGTCTGATGTTAAAACACAGGACAGCAGCGCACACATCTAGGCACCACCAAGCAGCTGCACTGCATCCCGACAACCTCGAACTCTGGCTCTCAAGTGCATGGGTGGCAAATCCTCTTCCAGTCGATCCGGGTGTTGAAGAAGCGTTGAACAGCAACCTCGGGTCGACTCAACAGTATCACCAGTCCAACCCCAGATCTCCTGTGTGTGAAATGCAACGAAAACCTGAGCCACCACGCCTCGTAGGCTGTCACTGCAGCTGAGGCCCCCTGGACTGTGCCATTGATGCCCTGGCAAGCTCACGAGATGCGTAGCCCAGTGCTGGATTCTCAATTGTGCTACACAACATTCGTAAGCCCTCATGGCACGGCTATCCATCTTGCGATGAATTTTGCAGGGCACGTGCTACAGAGGTCTGGGCTGCTTGTAATTGTACCGCATCTAAGAGTTCACGGCCCCGGCAGCTTTGGCAGTCGTCTGCCCTTTCAGGTGGTACGACTCGCAAATGCAGCAAAGGCTTCCGTCTTTGTGGTCTGCCCAGGGTCCTGGTTCCCTAAACCCTCGAACTGGTGATACTGTTCACACTGAACCCACATGGGCCAATCAGCGTACGAGAACAAAACACACAGTGCCTCCAAGGCCACCAAAACGCGGCCAGAGAGTTTTAGCCTTGCAGTGAAGCGGATTCACGCATGCCATGCCTACCTCGCAGAAGTTTGACGTGCTAGAACATGGAACCTTTCCAAGCTCCGACAGATGCTGACATCATCTCTGGTTCTGCTGCTCAGACGTGCGCTCTGCTCCAAGTCGCTGCTGCCTTGGGCTCCGAACACTGCGCTATGAGACTACCGGCACAAATAGCCGTGCTTTTTTGAGGCCACATGGCCGCAGATCTGCAAAAATGGAGTGCACGCTTCTGGGTAAGCACAGGCGTCGCAGAAGTAGAAGAATCTCATGGCACGTCATGCCAATCATGCGGCAAAACATCAGCTTGGACATCCCGCCGGTTAGCAGAGTGAAGAATTTGGGAGTGAAGGCTATGTCTGGCATGACTCCGAAAGCTCGCAGCGACCCAACAGCGACCCGAGGTGACCTGCCGGCCCTCGGACTTCGTCTCTGGACTTCTGAAGTTCAGGCCGGCAGGGCCCAGGGCGGGAGACCAGCCGCCTTTCGAAGAGTGAAGCGTAATTTGCTTCACCGCGGCTGCTGGTTTCCGCTTTGAGGATCGCAGAAGCTTTCACCACCGAATAAGCTAAAGCACGGGAAGGATTTGGGTGCTCAGGTCTGCAGCATTCGTCCCTGACGTCACTGCAATCATCTGCAGCCCCCTAGCGGTGATGACCAGAACGACTTGCAGGCCGAGCGCCAGTTGATCTGGCAATTTAAAGATTTAGAATTAGTGGCAGACAGACAGCCAGGCGGTGGCATTGGCGCCACCGCTTCCTTCGCCACGAAAATCGCTAGAACTTGCAGAAGTACCACACATACTGCACTCAGTGCATCTATGTGTGCCATTGCATGTGGAGTATTGAAGAAGGCACTCGCGAGATTTCAAAATCACGAGCTCTTGTGCTTTACCCTCACAACGCGTCACAAGAAACTCCAAACCACTGTTGAAAGGTTGGTGCCATGCGGTGCCCACTTCAGGTACAAATTTTACCAATGCCATCAGACTGCTTAGCTGGGATAGCTTGCGGCGTGAGCCTATTCCCCAGCAAGCATGCTGAGAAAAATGTTCGGCTATTCTTGCAACACATGCATTCGTTCTTAGCTGGGCTATTGATTCGGAAAGGCCAATCGGTAGTGCCTGTGCAAACCAAGGGCATGCACACCTGCAGAGATGTTCGTGCACTATGGGTTTAGGGTAAAATGATGGCACTAGCCAGCATGTTCTGTCTCCGCGAACCCCTTGCTTGCCAGGGGGGAGTTAAGCTATCACAGCACGCTAATGCGCAGCTGGCCGTTGACATCAGCCGCCCATGACGGTGGACTGGAGTCCTCAGAAGCACAGCAGGTCGGGCTCAGCCGGTCAGACATGGACATGCAGTTGCAATCATTGCAGAGAATTCCGGACACCTTCACGCAAACCGAGGCTGCGGCCCTCAGCCCTCGGCTATTGACTTGATACGGATGGCATGGAGTAACCAAACACGAAGCAATGCTCTCGGTGGCCAGGGTTTAATGAAAGTCTTATCAAAAGATACGAGTTTGTCTCCAAGCGGCCCCACAGAGTCCTTGTAGGCTTGAGGAGGGACCAAGGCCTGGACCAAAGCAGGGTACCAATGTGTGACATGCGTGGCGGCATCGGCATGTGGAAGGACGTGATGAGCTTGGATTACATTCAGGATAAACTTGCAGTTTGGCAGCTGTGCATCGTTTCATCTCTGCATCTCCGACCTAACCATGCTGGAGCCGTGCCAGACGGTATTGCGAACCCGACTTCGAATTACGACGAACTGATGGAAGCTGCCGCTTGCGGGGATTTGATTTGCAGCCGAGACACAGCCACTTGAAACATCATCCACGTGCGTCGCAGTGCGTTCATTTGCACATATTGGACATTGTGTTTCTTGCAGATGCCTGATGCATTAGCCGCATTGCCGCACATCACAACTCCAGCAGCAGATGACGTCTGAGCACTGCAATACCGTGATTCACAGGCAAGCAGCTTTTCACAAGTGGCTGGAGCTTCCGGTACCTGCGTTCCACGGCTGTAAACATAGAGACGGATGGGAGACCGACGTCGAAAGCCATCGCATGTGCGGCTCAGTGCGGCACTGGAGCGGAGTCATATCTGGGAACATGTGATGTTCCACCTGATGAAGCAAGCCGCAAGTGCATAAGATGCATCATGCTCTCGGTCACTGAAATTGCCTGATAGTTGAGCCAGCCGTAGACCGTATCAATCAAGTCCTGAGTTGCGACGAACAGTCGTAATCTCAATTCGAGACACATGGAAGAAAGCACCAGACGCATAGAAGGTGCTACCTTTGTGTGAGTTGGTCCATGGAACGGGAGCCCTATAGCCCATCCTAGCCCTAGCTTCATCGCGCGTCGTGAATCCTCATACTCACACGGGACTGCGCTCTGCACTGGGGCACGACTCACACAAACGGACTGCTTGTTAGATTGCACAGCACTGGCATGCCTGACGTACGAAAGGTGCAGCTGGAAAATGTCAATGGTGATTGCTCGTGGCTGCTCTGCTTCTGCAAACTGCTGTAATTGGAGCTGGTGCCATGCAGGACCCAAGAGAGTGCAGGGGATTGCACTGCGGTTCGGTAGCTGCGAGTCCTCTCACCCTGGTTCGCTATGATGCTACATAAACTGCTGTCTACCCGAGCAGCACAAAGCAAACAAAACAGGAAGCACACTCAACTCCCGGAGAGCACGCTAAATGCGCCAAGGCTGCATTGCCAGTCTCAAAGTTGGCGGAGGAGTAGGTGCAACGCAAGAGAAACTCTGCAGAGTAAGCCTCTCCAGGTGAAGATTCCACGGTTTCACAAGTGCTCTCAGCTGTGACCTGTGAGCCTGAGACTGGCATCTTCAGGTCTGCTATCCTCAGTGCCCCTACCGGTTTCGCTCATATGTCCTACATAGTATGCAAGACTTCCTTGAAAATGCCTGCTCTAGAAGACCCACAATGAAACATATCGCTGTGATTCGAGCTCTCAATGCTTCTACACGTTGCCTTCACATCCTGCATCCCTGCCTTCGACTTCGTTCTTTTACGTCTCGCGCCGGCTACGTCCTTCACCTATTATTCGCCTTACACTACCGGCTCAAAGCTCCCTTTAGGTCCCTTGAGATCTTTAGACCGTCCTTGCAAGATGTGGAGTAGCGATACAGGTCGCCACCGGAGTGGTTGCAGGCAATTATGACCTCATGCGATCGGGAAACTAGCCGGCATCGGTCTCAGAACTTTTGAAGTTGACAACATGCTCCGTGGTCTCAATGTTGCTTCGTGAATGACAAAGATCTGCCGTCTTTGCAGGCCCTGACAACTACACCACCGTCCGCGGAGGAGCGAGACCCCGTGTAGCAACAGACGAAAGACTAAACTGCTCTGTGCCACTCCTAAAATTGCACGAGACCGTGATTCCACGCTGCGACCGAGTTACAAAGGAATGCGCGTTGGAAAATAGGTCGGCCATCACGGATGTCATCAACACCCGCAGAGCGGCCTCTCATGCATGCATGCATGCATGTATGCGCGTCCGCTCTAAACTTTATGCACGAGTTCATGAACGACGTGAACTTGGATTTGCAATAGCTAAAAGGTCACTGAGTTCCTCTGCAACTATGGCACTCTTGCCTGGTCCGGGGTGATAGAGCTAGGCCAGAGTCCGGCTTGCACAAGAAGTAGCGGCCACAGCTGAGCACAGCTGGAGTCGTCTACTGCTTTTCATGATCTGAAACGGTCGAGTCTTGATTATACGATGCAAGACCTGATGGACTTTCGGGAGCCTTTGAAAACCGATTTCGCCACTTGCACCATCCCACACGAGCAAGGTGCACAATTTTGTCAAGGGCACGCGTGAAACTGAGTCCACTCCTTGCACAGCCTAGCTGAGGCGATGACTGCTGGAAGTGCCACTGTGGCCAGCATTGGCAGAATCACGCCAAACCTTGAAGGCAGCGCCCATCTTCCCAAGTGCAGCTCAAAGTGCCTACAAGCCGTGGACATGACAGGGTCACTGGGGACGTGGCCACTGAAAAAAGAAGACCATCCAGAAGACTGCTTTCTTGACGTTTCCGAATGCCAGTGCCTGCTATCAGACCGAGATTCTACAAACCATGCAGTGGTTTTTAAAAACCGCAGAAAGCAATGACCCCCTGGCATTTGCCTGAAGTGGTCGCTTGACCCAGTCGAAGACAACAACCTCGGAAAAGATGTCTCACAGTATGACAGCAGATGACTGAGCCAAGCATGGAAATTGCAAGTCACTAACTAAGTAAGACGATCTCTAGAAAAGACATACGGCCGTAATATCTTGTTGCTTCGGACGGTTTTCGGAAAGTGGACGTGCACGTGGGTCAGGCATGGGTGTTTCTCATACCATCATACACAAGAACAGCAGCAGAACCGAACTATACACCACGGCGAGAGCTGGCAGATCGACGAGCTGCAGGGGACAAGTCCCGAACACTATCACAAGCCAGAGGACATTCCAGAAGACAGGCCGGCTACTTAGTAACTTGATCCAGCATGCGCATGCAACAGGATTCCGAACACGGAAAAGACTCGCTGACAGTGAGTCGATGGTTGTACTTGGAACAGCTTCTTCCCATATGCAACTTCTACGCGGCGTGGCACTACTATCGGCCTGGTGCCGTCACCGGATTCCCTGTCGCAAATTGTGCCGAGGTGAACCTGAGCTGCTGGCCGGATCAGTCTTCTTGTCATCAGCTGGCCAGTTTTGTGCCAGCCAGCTTTCTCGCTTCGAGTTCATCAGCTCCTGCTGCACGAAAATCGACCAGTGCAAAGCCTGCTGGCCTGGGTGGATGTAATGCTCGGTGCATTCCTGTCCTTGAATGTGTTGGGAGAGTAGTAAGTGAACTTCCAGGTGAAGACCCACATGATCATCGAAACGTACTTCAGGGCCTGCCCAGGACGTGCAAGCAGAAGCAAGACGGTCCCATCCACTTCGGATCTGTACTCATCTTTACCAAGCCTGGCACTGAAACCTCGGGTCTGAAACCTACTTCTCTTGAGACGTATGTTTGCAGAGTAGGGCATACTACAGCTCAAGATGTGTAGTTGATGCTGCGTGTTTGAGACCTATGAACCTATGGCATATGGCTGTGCAGATTCAACACGTCTAGCTGCACGTTGAGCAGCAAGGCCACTAGTCAGCAGTGCAGCAAGCCAGAAAAGCATGCAGATGCTGACAGAGCGTTCATTGCCATGTCTACATTCTTGCCAAACCCTCCCCCCACCGATGGAAGCGGCATGTTGCGGAGAATCTCGAAATTGTGCTCGACAAGGTCTGGATCCTTCTCCTCCGACAGGTAGTAGTGATGAGCCTCCACCAGACTTGTGGTGCTTGTATCTGCCGAAACGCTGAATCAAGCTGTCCGCTTCTGGCCTTGTTGTGCTCCACATCCTCAGATGTTTGCACTGGCATGACAACCGCACATCATCTGAACTCTGTGATGTGCTACGAGCACGGCCCGTCTAGCTCAAAGAAAGAATCCAACCTCAAGCCTTCAAAGGCCAGCCCGCTTGGGAGGGGCTGAATGTAGAGCTTTGCCGTTTATGCTTGATTGCTAGGTTGCTGCGCAAAACTGTCAGTTGGGTCTTCAGCGAACATGCCTGCTTGTCACTGAACTGACAAAGGTGTCGGTACTGAAGTCACTAAGCCGGCGGTGACCGATCCTCAAACTCGTGCCTGGAGCCACTGTCATGCGATCAGTGGACTGTCACTTCGAGAACACAGCTGGGGTGGTTCAAGACTGTATCATTTTTGTAGCTTTACAACGCTCACTCGCTGAATTTGCGCATACCTCTTTTTCATGTGCTCTGGTTTGGCTCACGTCACTACGAACATGCTCCACAAGGGCAGCACCTTTCTTCCGGCCTTTCGATTCAGAAATCTGTATTGCCAGTCCCATGCAAAAAAGGTTTACTAGTAATTGACATCTGAGTCTCCCAAGCCTGTGGCATCATCCAGTCCATCCAGTCGATAAAGCGGCGGATACCAATCGCAAAAACACCACGCCTGGTAAAGTCGGAATTCCCGAGATCCTCACTACATCAGGAAGTGCCTGCAGTCGATAAGTTTCAGCTAAGATGCTTGTAGTGCGATGGCAAGGCGTTGGGATGCGTCTTCTGAAGCTTGTCGAAACCTGCGGCTGTGCTCATTCCGACGTGCTGCAAAAACTCGGTTAGTGGCGACTCCGTCACGACCAGTCGCCGGTGCTGATCTTTCATAACCTTCTCATCATGCGTGCACCCAGGAACCTCCATGCGAAACATGATGACCGATGATGGTCCACTTCATGCAGCGGGCGAAGGAAATCATCAGTGCACCTGCGCAGCTGAGAAGTGTAACACAGTGCTATCGAACGAAGCTCACTCGGAGGGCACTCAGCCCGCGCGTCCCTTTGACACTTGCAAGCCATGAATGCCACTGAGAGTCAGCATCTAAGCGTCCACACAAACCTCTAAAAAACCGCACAGGAATCACAGAAAACATCTACATTGCATGGATGCACCCAGCTGAGAGCCCATAGCGAGGGCCTAGAGCCAGAACAAGCCAGGAGAAGTGTGGAAGAGCTGCACCCACAAGCAGCATCGCATGACCTGCGTGCATAAACACTGCGCTGCTCCCACACGCATGTGCCATGAAAGCGTCGTGGGGAAGTGCCGAGGTTCGCTACGCCTAAAGTACCGTGCAAGGAGAGCGTGTAGGCGAAAAGGAGGAGGAAGAAGAGGAGGAGAGCTGAGAGCGAAGCAAACAAAAATGCTGCCAGGGCTAGCCAGTCTTGGGCAAAGGTTAGTTTGCAGACCTCAATCAAGCCAATGACTTTGGCAGAAGTATGTTTTCACTCAAGCATTACTCTGTTCCTGGGCGACAAGAAGACATTGCTCCAGAGAAGTGGTGGAGGTGGGTGTATAGAACTTGAAAAAACGATGCCCCGGCTGTACTCTACACCCTAAAGCACGTGAGTGCGGTGTAGTGAGCTGTTTCCAGTTTCCACAAGGCAAAGGCTAGTGCACTAAGCAAGAATTGCATTCGACCTTGATGGGAAAGAGGGAGTGGCATTCAAGAGAGTTCAAGGATGTTGATTCAAGCTCTGACTCTAAGGCGTACGTCGCTTTCATCGTGCTCTCATGAATCTGCATCGCAATCGAAGTCATCATATCTGCAAGCAAGAAACCACCATAGAGCAGAACCTCAGTGTGCCAACACTGTCGAAAGCTGAGGGGCGGATTGAGTGTCGCAGTCTTCTCCTTTGATCCTATGATATTTGCACCCGTTCCAGCAGAGCACCTGCGAGGTCAGCACCAAACCTTGCAAGTGTCGCGCATCTTCTTCTGTGGCATCTCCCACTGCTGCCTTCACAAACTGCAAACTTGCCGCTTGCACTCCAAGAACTCATTCCATGGAAGACGGTGCACTTTCGGGTGGCTGCGGGCCTTCGCTTCCTTGACATCTGCCACGAAAGCAGCTGGGTCGAAGCTGCTGTCGAGCACATAGGTTTCTGACCTCGGACACACGTCGCGACCGTCTGACAATGGCAGTCAACCGAGATCTTTGCCTGCTCTCTCCACCTGAGGGCAGTGCTTACACATGGAGCCTTCAAAGCCGGCGGCGTAAGCGCAAGGAAAATCTGCTTGAGCCGGCTGCAAATGCTGCGCACAAGATGAGGCTGACATGCGGCATTCGGCCATGGGGAGGTGCAAACACCAGGCATCGAAGGGCTTGCTGCCACTCTGTGGCCCCGTCTCTACGGCCAATTCTGCAGCACCCTCTGCACCGAGGCCTGATACCAATGACAGAGTGTCCCCCAGTTTGAAGTCACGACCAAACAATCAACAAGGGGCAGGCTTACCACCTGCCACTGGCTGCACGTGATTTGAGGGCGTCCTTGGTAGCAGTAGAACAGAACCACCACCGTCTCGTCACCGCCATCTGTCCCAATGCCTCGCAGGTCCAGTCGCACTATGACACTGTAGTATGAGGATAGTAGATGTGTAACAGGCGGCAGGACCTGTGACGGAAACATACAAGCACGCACACACGCACACACGCACACACGCACATGCACACGCACACGCACACGCACACGCACACGCACACACGCACGCACACACACACACACACACACACACACGCACGCACTGTCGCAGTTCCAGGAAAACTGAAAAATCTGACAGTTGCCTCCGCACATCGCTCCGATCTCAAATCCATAAGGGAATGTGTGCGATGCTTCAGCTATCATGCACACGAGCTGGGAAAGCACTGAGTGGAGGAGCTTGTTCTGGGAGTCTGTCCGAGATGATACCGGCTGTGAGAATGAGAGGTGCTGAGAGATTCGCTGAGGCCTTCGTGTGATGTTGCTATCCAAGTCCTGTTGACATGTGTACTGGATCGGATGAAAACTTGCAAGATGTCAAGCGCCCGTCGTGGGAGTATCCCGCTCTACTACTTGGCCACATGCTCCAACATCGTGAAAGGAATTCAATGAGTTGAACCTTTGCGTACCGCAACTCATCGAGCTGTAGATTGAGCACGGGCAGATCAAACAGGCAAATCTGAATTGAAGGCTCGTTAAGACCAAACTTTTCTGCGTGAAGCTGTGGTCCCTGTACATGTGTGGAGAGATCTTCAAGACGCACTAAACTTCGACGAAACGAGTCCACTCCCAACAGGTCTGGGAGTGCACTGGCTAGGTTTGTCCTCTTCCGCTTCATTAGGATCATTAGGCCCGATTAGCCTCAGGTGGTGGAACCATCTGTGGCGGAAGCGAAGCAGGGAGATCCTGATTCCAGTGCTGTTGGGGCCTTTGGGAGGGACTGCAAAACCCAACTAGAGTTTTCAGACTTGGTCCTGACCGGCCAGCTTCATCTTGATGAAATGCTGGGCGAGGGCAAACTCAGACAAAGACAAGAAGCCATCCTTCGCACAAGACAATGTGGCCCAGCATCTGGACCATCACCTTCCTAAGACTTAAGACAATATCTCGCGTGCCGTGCACAATCTGAGTCTGCTCAAAAAGTATCAAAAAGTCAACCAAACACCAAACGTCGAGGAAAACTGAAAACACGATAAGACGAAGACATAACATAATGACTACTACTAGTACTACTGGCACTGTTGTTGTCACTGTCACTGTCGCCGTCACGGTCACTATTACGATTAGTATCGCTACTCCCATTACTAATACTAGTACTATTACAAGTACTATACCTGCTGCTTTTAGTCTTATTGATAATGTGGCAGTCAAGCTCTAACTGTTACTGTAACTGTTACTGCTGGTGTTACAGAATACTGTCACTGTTGACACTGCTGCTTGTACTGCTACTCGCACTGCTACTGTTATTGCCACTGCTACTGTTAGTGTTGCGATTGTTAGAACTGTTACTAATAATAACAACCAATACTAACACTAATAATAATACTGATCCTTATATTCATACCAATACTACAACTAATACCAATGCTAGCATTAATACTGATGCTACTGTTACTACTAACACGAATATTAATGCGAATACTAACTAATACTAAAACTAATACAAATACGGCACTGGTACTGCTACTAGTACTAGACCTAATACCAGTACTAGTACCAGTACGAATACTAGCATTAATGCCAATATTGATGCTAGTACGAATGCGATTGCGAGTGCGAATCCGAAACCGTATACTACGACTAAGACGAAGACTAAAACCACAAATACGCATACCGACTAATACTAAGACGAACACGAATGCGACGAGAATGCGGTGGCGATTGCGGTGGCGAGTGCGCATGCGAATGCAAATCCGAATGCGAATGTTAATGCGAATCCAGACACTAAGACTTAGAAGGAAGATTGATACGAATACTACTACTAACACAATACTGATACTGATAATATTAATACTCATACTAGTCCTAACTAGTAGCAAAAATAATACAAATACGAATACTCATACTTATTCAAATACTGATACTATCACTAAAATGAATACTAATACTAGTCCTAATGCGAGTACTAAAACTAGCACTTACTCTAATACTACTACTAAACTATTACTGATTCCATTATTAATACCTATACTACTCAGACTGCCAACACTACTAATACTACGAGTACTGCTACTGCTACTGCTACTGCTGCTACTACTACTACTACTACTACTACTACTAGTACTACTACTACTACTACTACTACTACTACTACTACTAGTACTACTACCTTTACTACCACTAGTACTACTACCAGTACTACTACTACTACTACTACTACTACTATTACTACTGCTGCTCATACTACTACTAATAGTAATACTAATGCTGATACTCATACCAATACTACTAATACCATTTCCAATGCCATGACCATTACCATTACCTATACGATTACGATTGCTAATAGTATTGTTACGATTTCCACTGCGATTACGACTACGATTACTATTACCAGTATTGTTACGAATACCATTACGATTACCATTGCGGTTACTATCACCATCACCATCACAAATACAACCAAAATTACTACTACGATTACTACTACTAGTACTGTTACAATTACTACTACTAGCACTAAATACTACTATTACTATTGCTGTTACTAGTACTGTTGCCATAACTATGACTATGACTATTCCTCCTACTACTACTACTACTACTGCTGCTACGACTTAGGCACCCCGCACGTCCCCCTCAAAATCCCTAAGGTTACCAAGATGGTTTACTTAGGTATAATTGCCTCCTATCAGGGTTTTGAGCTACAGACCTGCCTTCATCGACAGCAGTCCGCCCTAGTTAATCGCCATCGCTTAGCCCGTACGCTGCACTGCCGACAGCTCACCCAGCAACAACGCACAAGATTATATGTGTCGTGTGTGCGAAGCAGTATGCTGTATGGACAGCATGCGGTGGGCACTACTCATGCGGTGTTGCGCAAGCATGATCAGTTTGATGC